CATCAACACTCAGGAAGCAGCAGTCATGAAATCAAACGACATATTGTATTAAGAAAATCTGCTGCCTAATAAGACCTCTTTAAAGTGTTCAAGAGTAAAGATGTCAGTTTGAGGACTATGGTGTGCCTGACTAAAGTCATGGTATTTTCAATAACCTCATATGCATGTGAAAGTTAAACAATGAATAAAGAAGACTATAGAAGAATTGATGCATTTGAGTTATGGTGTTGCAGGAGAATATTATTATTAAAAATTAAAAATTAAAAAATTTCCACCAAAAGATCAAACAAATCTGTGTTGGGAAAAGTACAGCCAGCATGTTCCTTAGAAGCCAAGATGGCCAGACTTCACCTTTTATACTTTGGACATAATATCATGAGACCAGTTCCTGGGGAATGACATCATGCTTGGTAAAGTGGAAGATGCCCCAACGAGATGGACTGGCACAGTGGCAGCAACAGTAGGCTGTGAAGTTGGCCCATGACCAGGTAGTGTTTCATACTGTTGTGCATAAGGTTGCTACGAGTTGGTACTGACTCGACAGCACCTTAAAACAACATTAAAGGCCAGTCAACCAAAAACTTGTATGAATAAAAGAATTATAGCTGAAAAGCAATCCTCTTTGGGAAAAGGAGGAGAAAGAGAAATAGCAGTTACTTTATTTCATCCATTTAAATCATACTCCTAAAACCAACAGAAATAATCTCTACACTTAAAGTTCTTGCTGTAGTTTGTAAGGAAAAAAACCAGATCAGAGTAAAGTTAACTATGATGACAAAACTGGAAAACTACCTCAAATATAAATTTTTATCAGATTTTTTCCCCTGCTAATTGGCTGTGATTTTAAGACCAGAGTGTGTGATCAATGTTGTTCTAAAGAAAAAAAGAGCGTGTTTTGATAGAATTATAATAAAAGACTCTCTTTAATAAAATAGCCTTCTTATATACACATGGTCTAACATATATGATAGGTCCTGTTATGGTCCTGTAGGTTAAGCACAGGACTGCTAACCACTAGGTCAGTGGTTCAAACTCCAGTCACTCTTCAGAAACCCTACACTGGGTCCCTATGAGTCAGAACTGACTGGATGGCACTTAACAACAACAAAAACAAAAGATATATAAAAAGTCAGCAAATGCAAGAAGTCTAATCTTAACCCATTGGAATCCAAGGGTGAATCCACAGGATGAAGAGGTCTGTGAGAAGTACTGGAGATTCATGTTTACTCCAAGCCATCCAAGTATTGTTTAGTTCTGTTGAGTCAGTTCCAACTCATAGTGACCCTATATAGGGTTTCCGAGGAGCAGCTGGTGGTTAGTAGTCCAGTGCTTATCCTGTAATTCTGCCACACCTGGACTCCATCTACAAGTTAAGCAATAGCAAGGTTCCTCCATAGACCCATTGGATATATTTGGTTACATCATAAAGGAAACTTCCTCACAAACGTTCAAGAGATACCCTATGGAACTAATCAAGGAGAGTCAGACCTGTTAGTGTACTTTACCTTAATCTTGAAGACAAGATTCCAGTGGGTGTCAGGTTGCACTAAGCCTGACAGTGAGATAGAACTGAACTGATCATATTTTGGCAGAGCAAAATCTTTTTTGTTTAATTTCCGGTGATTAGAATGGTAATTTATCCTCAAAACAGTTGAATTTATAACTACTATATGACCCTGAAATCCTATCAATCCGGAAGAAGTGAAAGCAGAAACAGTCTGCAGTACTTTTCACAATAGCCAAAGGGTGAAAACAACTAAAATGCTCAAAAGATGAATGGATCACCAAACTGTGGTATATGCATATAATGACAATGGAATATTACTCATCCATGAAGAGAAATGAAGTCCCAATGCATGCCATAACATGGATGAACCTTGAAAACATTATATTGAGTGAAATAAACCAGTCACAAAAGGACAAATATTGATATGAAATAAACAAATATGCAGAAACCAAAGATTATTAGTGGTTACCAAGAGTGGTAGGAGGAGGGTTGGGGAGGATTGCTTAGCAGGTATTATGTTTATGTCAATACTAGGGGAATAATTGGAAAGAATAGCAACAATAGTTGTACCACATAGAGAATATAATCAACGCCACTGAAATATACATGCAGAAATCGTTGAGATGGCAAATGCTTTGTTATGTGTATTTTCACTACAATAAAAACCAAACTAAACCCAAAACACACAAACAAACAAAAGGAATGGTATGTTAGCAGCAAATTCATTGGCTTCTTGTTGGCACTGGGGAGAAAGTAATATACCCATTCCCTGCCCCAAGTTTGTCTTACCAATAAACACATACAGTTTGAAAGTCTTTGGGAAACAAAAGACAACTTAAATGATCATAAAATGCATGAAGAAGGACTTCCCAGCTGAAGCTGGAATTTGGAATCTCAAAAAGCTTACCATTTTGCCTCTAAGTCCCTTGGTTCCACTTTCTCCTGGATCACCAGGCTCCCCAATCTCACCCTAAATAAATTCCAAAAAACAAAAAGTAAAACAATTATTATACTCAGAGGAGTATATCTAAATGTATTTTTTTAAAACTGATTCTATCATAGAATACATCTGTCTTTAATAGCCTTCTTTGAAATGTCTTTCTTTTTAAGCTTTCGTTTTTTTCTTGCTCTTATCAGAGCACACTCTAGCCTCATTGCTTTACTTTTCTGTCTCTCCAACCACAACATGGAGTTCTGGTGTGGCACTGTGGGTTAATGCACCAGACTGAAAGCAGTTTGAACTGCAAGTTCGGTGGTTCAGCCTCACCAGCTGCTCCTTGGAAACCCTATACAGGGTCACTATGAGTCAGAACTGACTCTATGGCACTTAACAACAACCACCACCACAGCACAGGCTCCTTGGAGACATAAAACTATGTTCTTTTTTTTTTTTGTCCCTTGACCTTAACGCAGGACTGGGCATTTACTTACCTTAGAGTGAAAACCTTAAGGCAGAGGACACCTTGCTAACTTATTACCTGATAATGTTTTACAACCACATTGGGACAAAAGAGTCAGACTAAATCACGTCATTTTGGTTTTCCTTATAGTTTACTTTCCTTTGACTAAAGATTATGACAAAGGGGAAGATGTACGTTGGAGGAGAGAAAAAAACCCACTTTCTTCATTTATTCATGAATTAAAAATGGAAATGTGACTATTTCTTTTTAAACAATCATATGCTCATAAACAAATGCATAATCTTAAAACATGGGGGAAACAGCCTGCTTCTTTCTTTCCTCCTTTCTCCTTGTTGTTAAGTGCTGTCAGGTCGGTTCCATTTTATAGTAACTATGTAGCAGGAACGGGGAAGGAACATCCAGCCCTATAATCTGTGAAGTCATTTGGTCTGTTCCTGCCAAGGCAACGCCACTGGGACTAGAAAGTCAATAAACCTACGTTTTTTTCATAGCAACATAAATTTATATTAATTGATGTTCTAAATATCCCAATGGCCCTTGGTAGAAAAAAAGTTTCCCCACCACCCTGCTGAATGGTGTCCTAATGTGGTGCTTTGGGTTAATGAGCTGGATTGCAAAGTCGGTTTGAACTGCAAGGTCGGTAGTTTAAGCTCACCAGCTGCTCCTCGGAAACCCTATACAGGGTTGCTATGGGTTGCAAGTGACTCGATGATACCTAAAAACAACCACAGCCTCTGCTGAATAGGGTTTCCAAGGAGCTACCGGTGGCTTTGAATTGCTGACTTTGTGGTTAGCAGTCCAGTGCTTAATCTACAGCACCACACCAGTACTCCCAGTACACCTTTCTCCTGTAAAACAGAATATTTATCATAATTGACTATCTTTCTATATTTCTAGGTTAATTTCACAGCCTCAGGCTGGTAATCTATCAAGCTTTACTGAGAGGTCCCCAGTTAGTATGAAGCACACAGTACCTTAGGTCCACTCTCTCCAGGGAATCCTTCTTGGCCCTGTAGATGACAGTAGGGAAGATTACCGTAAGTGTGTATCAAACAGGTAGATTCATTTTGATTTTATTCATGTTGATTTTATTTTTACCTGATGCCTTGTTTAGTTTTAATATTTCTGAACCAAGAAAGTATCAAAACAATTGGAACTTGAAAATGATATCGCACTAGCTGAGAAACTCCAATATCTAAATGAAACTATTTTCTGGTTTCATCAAAGTATCATGACAACCTAACATAATACATCTAAGGAGCTATAACTCACCTCTTCTTCTGTTGTAAGCCTATCACAGCATAGGTAGGTGGTTATTTAGCCATATGCTTCTAGTGGAGAAATTTGGGAAGCCTGCCTGTCACTTTGTCAGACTGGAGTAACTTGTGTGTTGCTATGATGCTAGAAGCTAGTCATTGGTATTTCAAATACTAGTAGGGTCACCCATGGTGGACAGGGTTCAGTGGAGTTTACAGACTAAGACAGACTAGGGAGACAGATCTGACAACTCACTTCCAAAAATTAGCCAATGAAAACACTGAATAGGGATTCCAAGGAAATACTCTGATTTTTTTTTTTTTTTTTTGACTGTGTTAAATAATTTCTCCACATAATTATAAAATTTTCATGTATGATGCCTAAGATTCAAATGATCAAAGCTACTTAATATTTCCTCTATCATAGGATATTTATGTTGTTTTCAATTATTCCCTATTCTAGTGACCAGGTCCCTGGACATTCCTCATTCATTAGTTTTTCTTTAAAAAAATTTTTTTAGATATTAATTTTGTTTTACAAAATTTCCAGACAGCTTTTTGCATCATTTCTGGTGGAATTTCACTTGGAGTTACATTGATACTTTATATGTTTTAGATTTTCTAACAAGAACTTAGTATACCTTTCAATTTATTCAGTTTTCTTTTATATGTTAGTAAACTTTTTTAGAGGTCTCACATATTTTTCAGAAAGGATATTCTTAACTAGATTATATTTTTGGTGCTAATGTAGATATGATTATTTTTTTTAAATAAAATTATAATTTCAACATAGCTATTGTTGTTATACAGAGATCAGTGATTTTGGTAAATCTATGAGCTTCACTTCCAGATATTTAAATATTCAGTGACAATATAAAATTTTTTTTGATGCAAAGTTGGAAGGCTTTATTTTTAAGTTATCACTTGGCCCAATATACTTAGGAAAGTTCCACAAAGCCTCTCACTAACAGCAAGAGTAAACAAGTCAGAGGGGGAAGCATTTTGGAAAGCTCCATGAATAAGCTCAGGCTGGCCACACACCTTCTCAAATAATTGAAAATCCATTTTCAAGTTTCATTTGTTGCCTGCATCTTACCTATCCCAGCAGAGCATTTTCTCCTAAGCCATACTCTCCACAGGGCACCAGCAAATCAATTATCAAAATAAATTTCTAAATGGTCTTATTCACAATCTGCATTTTTTTTCTTTCTTATTTTAAATGTGAAAAATGAACAAAACAACAAAAAATTAAAAGGAAAATGTCTAGCTTCCAGCAGATGCAACTTACCTTTGCACCTTTAGTCCCAACTCTACCATACCCTGGACTGCCATCGTCACCCTGTAAACAGAGCAATGAATACCAAAGATCCCAGACTACAGATAGAGGCAGACTTTCACAAGAGGACAACCAACCCATATGGTTTGATCAGTGATAGTGACCCTAAAGACAACAGTAAATAAGATACAGTGTACTGCTCCTTAGTCTTTTCATTACTAAAATGGAAATAACAGGAGTTCTGGTGTGGCGCTGTGGGTTAATGTGCTAGACTGTAAGGTTGGTTTGAAGCGCAAGGTCGGTGGTTCCTTGGAAAGCCTACACAGAGTCGCTATGAGTGGGAATTGACTTGATGGCACTTAACAACAACAATGTAATAACATAATGTGGTTTTAAAATCACCCACTATTATTGTAGATTCATCTATTTCTTTCTTCAAATCTATTAGAGTTTGCTTTATATATTTTGGAGCTCTTTCATTGGGAACATAG